CCACGTCAAGGTGAGCTTGAGCTTTTTTGCCCGCAGGCCAATACTTAGCCCCATACAACGCACTGCTCTAATCAGAGTTCTACAGCCCTTCCAGTTCAGGCGCTCTGGTATGGTCTCGTCACAGGGAACTCTAGTCACGAGTGCCATTTCGTCTATGCTGGACGCGCGACTTCAGCTCTGAGGTCAGACTGCCATCAAGCACAGTCTGATCCAAGACACTTGAAGGCTTCCGAACGTGTGAGCTCGACGCCACTGATCTCAATGGAATCGGATTCATTTGAGTCGGTCGTCAATTACTCGAATTTCTTGATGTTCAACGTTTCGCCCCTAGTTCTTGGTCGCGCGTCCAGGGCGACCAAATCGCGAAGCATGAACAAGCTCTAAGGCGGCGTTCATGCTTTGCGTGAGCGTATGCCAGCGTACGGCAGGTTTCGAGCGTATAGCGCCTGCGACTAAGAAATAGTAGGTATCGACCTGGCGTACGTCAGTCTACAGCAGCGTTTCGAGTGACTACGAAAGTGCACATATCGACCTAGCGTCACCTTCTGCCAGCGTACCGACGGCTTGGAACTATAGGTATCGATCTAGCGTCTGCCAGCCCACCTGGAGTGGAGAGTATGAGGAAGTAGGAGGGGAGCAAGACAGCTGGATTAGGCGTCGTGAAATTGCGGCGTGTGCAACCGCACCGTACAACTGCTAAAGCACAGAATTATGCAACCTTGATGTATGAGTAGTGCAGATGTACGGTGCGGTTGCACAAGCCGCAATTTCAGGACGAATCCAGCAGTCTCCTCCCCTCCTACTTCCTCATACTCTCCACTCCAGGTGGGCTGGCGTTCGCTAGATCAATACCTGTAGTTCCCTAGTCCAACTGTTGAAGGGTATAAGTTCCAAGATCTTTTCTTACCAGGACCAATACAATGTCAGCCTTTGCATAGTCCACGGTGCGAAAGAGAGGTAGCGAACTACAGACAAACTTTTCGGTAGGCAGTTCATTAAGCTGCGTTTACACCTTGCGACCCTGGTGAATCAGCGAATCCATGGAAAGGAACGTATGTGTATAGATCCAAAAAGTCGGAAGACTGAGGAATCGAAACCAGGCGTCATGTCCCAAACTTTTTTGTCATTTCTCCATTGTCGCGAGGTATGAACGCAAACCACCATTCCTACGACACCGGCAATCAGTATGCTTGCCCACTTTGGACGAAAACCTTGGAGCTCATATTCGAACAATCATTACCGGCTATATAAGGTAGTTCGCTGCGGACGAAGGGGCGTGTCAGGCAGGATGAGTTTGGCGTGGTGCCAAATCCGTTTTCTACCAGTTGTTGAAGTGAGCAAGTGATAAGACTGCATCGTGTCACTCGCTTTCTACCAACTGTTGTGGCATACCCGCTTCAACAACTGGCAGAGAACGGGTTTGCACAGTGGCACACTCATACTGCCTGACACGCCCCTTCATCCGCAGCGAACTGCAGTATATAATAGTCAGCAAGAGTTGACGTAAACCTCCCCTTGAAATTTAACCACCTTAAAGGTTACTTCTGATCCTCTTCTTCATCAAGGTACAGCACCTGCTATGAAAAACAAAACAAAGGAGTGAACGTGGTTCCCTCTGAGGAAATCCCTCTCTCTCTCCTCCCCTAGTTGGTGGCGCTGCAAAACTACTATACAATCACCACTTCTTATAGGTGACTGTAATAGTTGTGAACATCCCCACCCCTCCGCCTCTCTTCCCGACAGTAGAATTCTGAGAATACATTGTGAAGGAGCTCGTACAGGAGTGGACCTAATGAGGTTGTATTATCCATGATTCTTCCACAATGCTATGCAGAGCCTTACCCTACTGGTTAATGTCGTCCTATCGATCATTCAGATAACGACATAGTAAATGAGATTAAGAAACAATTCTAAAAAGAAATTCGAGCGCAAAGTTTAGTCGAATAATGACAAATGTGCCCGCGTTCACAATTACGAAATGCAGAAGTTCGCAGTGGAGCGCAATTTTTTGTCGCGGGTACGTCTTGCAACGGGCTGTGATGAATTTGGTGGAATAGCGCTGCTCGGCTATTTGCATCCCTGCTTTTCCATTAGTCCCTATTTAGCCGGCTGGTATTGATTCATACTGCTTTGGGAACCCTTCTCTAGTTCAAATTCGTTGCTCGATCATTCCCTCAAATTGCTTGTCTAATCTTTGGCTTGCTAGAAGTTCATAAGAGTTGTATAGAAATTGAGATACTGTCGTCTATGGGGTCTTAACGTAGTACAGGGGAATCGCTTCTCTGTATCCCTCCCCCAAAAGGCAAGACTCAGAGCGCAGACGACCGGGTTTCAGGGACACTCCCCGACGGAAACACTGGTCGCTAAGATCTGGCCTTAGCTTTGGGAAAGGGATAAGGAAGCACGTGCACGTGGTCCACCCCCCCCCCCCCTCCAACGGGAGACGGGCAAGAGAATCGTAAATTGCCGCTTCGTCGCACGCGGCAATGGGCGCGACGTTTCCTTAATTTGCACTACCCTTTCGATTGGAGCATCGGAATTTCATGTAGACAAGGACATGGTAGACACTTATGTCTATTTTTGGTCATACATTGTCTATTCTCTGCCAATACCACCTAAAATCGTCGTCCCTCGACGTCGCACGCGACGCCCACAGGCGCGGCCAATTACGATTCTCTTGCCACATACCCTACCCCAACTATGTTGGCGCTGTTTAAACATCTCCATTTATGACGGGCGCATGGCATCAGGGTCTAGAGGATTATGGCACTCACAAAATAAGGAAAAGAAATCTCCACCCACTTTCCACAACTACCCTTCCGCTTCTCTCAGGATGGAGTTCCTATTCTCTTGTTTTCCACACTTGGGGGGGGGGGGTGGCGCCGTAGACAACGTGCACAGTCCGTCTAGTTCCGGATCGGCTCCCGCCCTTACCAACCAAGCTCTACATCCCGCCGGGTTGGTAAATTGTTGCCAGACTCAGAGGATATAATAGCGATAATAGGATACATGGACGTCGGAAGTGTACAGGCTACATTCCGCATGGAGGAAGATAAAGTACCGCCTTCCAAAAGAGATTGATCAACGGTAGAAGAGGTGAAAAAATTTCTCACTGGCTTTATCGCGAGGTTCTGACCCTAATCGATTTTGTGGTGCCCCTTCCTTGATCACTATGCGGAGTACCGCGAAAATTTTGCAGCGCTTTGTGAAACTATATTTTTTCTCCCGGACCAAACCTTCGCACTTAAGCATTATGACTTATATTTCCAGCTTCACGTTTCATGCCTGAGGGATGTGAATAGCCCGGATCAGATGAACGCGACGCGGGCTGATGTCCAGTGCGTGTCCCTGGATATGCAGTACGGAAGGTACATGCTGCAACAACGGATTAGCACAGCATTTCCAGCGACTCGACATAATACGGCACGGGGTTTTGCAGTGCGGGTGGCCTGGAGTGACCTTTGGAGGAGTTTGATCTACACGATCGACCCTCGGGAGGTCCCTCAGGAAAGTGACCTGGAGGCCTACCTATTTAAGCCGCTTTACCAGTAGGTCGGGGTAACAGGTGGACCTCATTGGTCGACTCCCTAAAGGTTAGTTCTTATTGTTCTCGTGACGTCATCACAGTAGTTTACGACCCCTTTTGAACTTTTTCTGTAGGTTGAAATAGTGTTGGATGAGTAGTATCGAAAATGTGACGCGACGCCGAAACGTCAGCCGAATAAAGTTTTCATAACAATCTTGGTTGGAGCTAAATCAATCTACTGTCAGTACTGAAGACCATGCCAAGATTTATCGACAGTCGCACTTGGACACTGAATAGTGTCGATCCGAACCGTACGTGCGTATAGTGGTGAGAAGACGTACTGTACAAAATCTCACTTCTTGTTATCATAACGATATCAGCTCTTTTCTTTATCACCTCCTACCACTCGGGATGGAGAGAGCTAGAAAAGGGGTTACTAGTTAGTAGTCAGTAGCTCAGAGCACTGGCATGGGCCCAAAGGGTGCTCGTGGGCTCAGTTGTTCAGATTCCATCGAATCTCTTGTAAAACTTCACTTTCTAAATGTGGTGCAGCCTCTATTATCCCCGACTACGTGTGACCTTTTGGAAATATAGAAACAGTTTTTTGCGAAAGTTGCCTTCAAAGTTTGAGTTGTAACAATGACAAAAATCAATTTATGTACACATAAAGGCAATAATTACATACATACGCATCACACCGATGCCGTAATATGAAACTACTCCATGAGAAGATTTCCTTTGTACAGCTGTACATTATGGGAACAAACTGGAACAAGAAAATGTTCACTGTGTGCCATTTTCATTTCAAATTGAACACCTTTCAAATCAAATTCACCCCATTTTTCACACCGCACATTCGTTTATAGCTTCTGCTTCTGCGACCTTCTTACACTTTTGCTATTCTCAACTAAAACCAGTTGAAAGGGATTAATATGCCGACACACAGGCGACACCACCCACTTGTAAAAAATTCGTTGCAGTTCAAATTTTTATAACTTTTTTCAACGTCACTGATTTCACCCCCTTACTGGCATCTCCCCTAAACTCATAGATACATATTGTTTACCCTGGGAACGCAAAGTTGCGCAATTTCCCCACATCCACTTCTGCGTGTTTTCCTAGGACTAAAAAAATGCACGTCGAAAAACCAGATAGGATATGTTTTAAGTGACGAGCCGAAGTACACAATCGATACTCGTCAGCCTGGTTGGTCTGATGCACTTTTTTCAAAAGTGGTGGGGACTTCTCCCACGAGGTGGTTGGAGCCCTCACAGTGGGCGGGGCGACCCGTTGCAGCCCGAAAATGGTAAAATCTCGACAAACAGAACTCTTCAGAAAAGACGTAACAGTGGGCATGGCTGTTGGCGTGCGGCTTGTCTACTACGACGCGTTTAATAAACTGCCTGGTGTGGGAAGCGTTGAATTCGATTCGAAAAGTGTTGAATTTAAAATGAAAATGGTGAAGATCATCATATCACCGCGCTACGTAGCCACGGAGCTCCTTCTCCTTCTCCAGTTGGATTTCCGCCAACTCCAGAAGCTTCTTCTCTTTCCGCAAACGAACTTCGGCGATTTCAATCTTCTTCATCAAGAAACGCTTCCTCAGGTATGGCAGAGAGGAGCGTTTTCGAGTAACACAATGACAAGTTCCACTCGTCGATGGCTCGTGTTCAGTGGGCACATCCCCGTTTGAATAACTCGCATTCTGCAAATGAGAGAGTCATTGTGGAAACAAAATTGATATGAAGTAAAGTATACCAAACATACATCTTCCAGCATATCCTGAGCATTGAGGTGATCCGTATGCGATGGGTATTCCTCCTTAACCACGACCTCATCCCGTGAACTTGGATACTCTACAGATCGTGAATCTAAAACTGTAATAGATCGTTATAAATGATGATCGCTTCGAAAAAAAGTGCTCACGGTAGTCTCGAAAAGGATCGAAAACGTTGACGTCGTCTTCCGAGCGCAGTTTCATGACTACAGGATCCATATAGGGCTGCAGTGGCACAGGTGGTCCCTCGACTGGAAGGCCCAATTGAGTTCGCTTCTGGAAACTTGTTTATAGTACATACACTGGGAATCCACGAGAGAACTTGCCGATTTGGAGTTCTTTGAGTTCTTTTTATCGAAAGCGGACTTTTTTGGGGAAGGGGAGTGGGTGGGATGCTTGTAAGCATTTACAATACTGGATCGAAGAAATTGTACCTTAAATGGTAGCATTACTTGGGGTTAGAACAAATACGGCAGGACTAGGCCTTTCCCAGTCCGGTTGTCTGCAATCTATGGGTGAAGGCAGAGCCCTCAGTTACCATTTGTGGGTAGAAGAGCATATGGCGTATACGCAGAGGAAAAGAGATGCAGACAGCGGTATGGCGAGAGAGCACGCAAATGATCGAGAACCTTCTGCTATACTACGATGGCGAAAGAAATAATAAAGAATCACGATCGCGAGGGGGCGGAGACCGTCTCTAGTGGCAGAGCCTTGTCGCTCTTATCGAGGACTTTCGGACTGCGAAAGCGGGACATCCTGTACGGCAACGCCATCTCGAGCAAGAAATAGACTCCGCACCGCGGCTGATCAAGGACTCTGCCTTAAAGCCTGGGAAGGAGGGGATCTTCCTCTAGGCCTGGGAAAGAAGGGAATAACTGTGTCGTTGGGAGGGGAGTCTCAGTAGTGCAACAGTCAATAATTGAGTTTATAGTACTAACCTACCTCCGTAGATATAAAGGAGCGAGCCTTGCCGACGATTTTCCGGACCTTCTCAGAAATTTGTTGAGCAGTGCGCATTGAAAGTCCTAGTGCGTTGATCTTTTCAGACCAGTCTTGGTGAAGGCGGTCTCTAACCGCTCCGATTTCTGCCCTTGTTGCTGAAAACAACAGCCTTTGATGACCAAATCAACTCGAGCAAACCTTTGCCCTGCTATCAGCCCAAATGAGAACAGTGCTCACTACTATTGCAACAAATAGGTAAAGAGATAAGAAATTTTATCTGAGGATCTAGCCATTTCACGAGCTTCTGAAGAAGTAGGACATGCCCGCACGGGAGACGGCCGAGACAGTTGAAGTGGAGGCAAGACTGCAAGCCGAGTGATGTCGTTATTTTTGTTTCCTCTACATCAAAATCCACACGGCCAGGACCACTGGTGTACCGCTTAGGCAGAGTCGCTCGCCACGACCAGCACGGCATATTACGTTTGTCTTGTCGTAGACCCCAAGTGTACTGGAAGTGCACATAGGACCGCTGGCATAGACCGTCGCCAGAAGGGTCAGACAACCCTGCGAGTGGCGCGCCCTTGGCGAACTGTAAAGCTCTGTTCACTCACTGCCAAACCACGAAAGTGAGACAATTTTAAGATTGCGAATCAGTCTCTTTAACAAGCGTGAAGCCCAGGACATCCTAGGTGCGGCACTGGAGGCACCATCGGTCTTAGCCGGCTGACGCAACATAGCGTTTTGACGTCAAATGAGTAAGGCTAAGTTCATACTTTGCGACAGCGTCTACCAGCGTCCAGCAGCGACCACTAGCGTTCGAGCGTCCGGCAGCGTCAGCGACTAGGAAAGTATAGATATCGATCTAGCGTCTGCCAGCGTCTACCAGCGTCACCAGCGACCGGGAGTAGAGAGTATGGGGAAGTAGGAGGGTAGCAAACAGCTGGATTAGGCGTCGTGAAATTGCGGCGTGTGCAATCACAGCTGCTAAAGCACAGAATTATGCAATTTAATGTACAGCGTATGTAGTTGTACGGTGCGGTTGATCATGGTGCAATTTCACGTACCTAAACCAGCTGTTTGCTGCCCTCCTGCTTCCACATACTTTATACTCCCGGTTGCTCGTGCACGCTGGTGGACGCTGGCAAACGCTAGGCGGATATCTATACTTTCCTGACTAGTCACTAACGCTACCGGACGCTTTGCACGCTAGTGGTTGCTGGAGGACGCTGCCGCAAAGTATGAACGCAGCCTAGAATCATGACAGCTTACATCCCCTACAAATAAGGCTGAAATGGAAGGTACTAGACCAAAATCGTCATGATCTGGGCCAACGCGATTTGGCTCCAAGGTATTGTGGCGAGTCAACTAGCTGGGCACGCGCGCGATTCCTCGCCTCGGATTTCTTGAACTACACCTTTTGTGCAGAAAGCAAACTTACTGTGAACGGTAATAGAGGAATGGTTTTAGTTGGATTAGGAGGAAATAGCGTCACTGGTGGACTCAAAAGTGAAAAATGAGGAAAATAAAGTGAAGTTCACGTAGGCTTACCGCATTGCAAATGGCCATGGCCATAGTACTCGTTGTAATTTTCCAGCAGCAATTTGACCAACAAACGATTTTCTGGTTCAGTGAAATTTGCCGTCTTAATTTTTTTGCCCACCATAATTGGAAAACCGCATTAGGATGGGCTGGATTCGGAAAAAAAACGGCAGGAATAGTGATGGCACTGAAAAAAGGATATAAAACAGTACTGTTATTGATTATACAGCTATGCGTTGCGGCAGAGCGGCGAAAGAGGTCTTGTAACTTGTCACGTGCGCGTCATTTGCACCAAGAGCCAGCTAGCTGGTCAGGTCAGCAAGTTAGGATTTCCTGAACTACATCGTACACGAAACAAGCGAATGAGATAGACTATCTCTATGTTGTCTACCGGATCCGAAAACGTCTAAGTTCAACTTTAGGAAATAGAAGTGCCTGAGAACTCGAGTAGAACGATTCTTCCCGACGCGACGCATGCAGCATGTGCACTAGGACCCGATCCATTCAGCGTAGCACTGCTGCGGCGTGTTGGCCTTTTCAACTTTCTCTTTACGTCTGCATCTCTCTAACCAACTACTGGCTAGTATCTCCGCCTGCGTCTGTATGTTGAACTAGCTAGGAAAGGCTGCTAGAGGGATGCGATGACACGACTGGGAAGTAACGCTCCAACCCCGTGGCGCACCGGTAGGCCACGTGTTAATCACTAGGGCGCATTCTCGGTGCAGAGAATGAGCGCGAGAGAAATGAACCAGGGCTGGGCCCCTTTTCTACTTCGCCAGTCTTGCGATTTGGGGATCGAGTGACTGCGACCGGTCCCAGCGTAGCTGCTAATTCTAGCCCAAGTATGATTGACTCCGCAGCTGCACACCTCAACATTTATCAGTGATCGCGTCCAGCCCCATTTGCGGAACTGAATCGCTGGGGTAGCGAAGCGCAAACGCACCCCTTTACGCGCGCAAAATCAATAAGTAGTTGAGGCACACTAGTGAGAAGGAATAATACTCTACGAGCGAGAGACTTACTGGTAGACATTGAAGTTTGCTCTTCTACCGATAAAAACTATTGGTGAATTCTCTGACTGATGATGGGACCAGATGACAGCGAAAATCCTTGTTAAAACGCATATTGTATTTCAAACAGTGTCAGGAGAAGGAGCTACTCGGGAGGCGCTCGTCTGG